CTTTTGTGTACATGATACCCTGGGGGTGAATAAATACGGAAGAACGGTGGGACGGCCTTGGTGGGGAATTTGATACACCAGGAAGAAGTTTATGGAGAAGTTGAGGAGTTGGAAGTTGAATTTTTACTGGCGGGAAGAAAAAGACTGGGTTGGGGGTAGTTTTTCTCAGGAGGACAAGTGTCGAAGCATCCGGGAGTCGCCTGGTGTAATAGAATGGCCGAATGAACTCCGGAAAAATTGAAAAGGCGAGATCCATTTTCATTTAACTTAGAAATTCCATTCAATATCAGTATAAACATCAAAATCCACAAATCCCTATTACTACTAGTTATGATTACTATAGATTATTACTGCAACAATAGGATTTAAATTGATAAATTTTTGGTGTGCCTATGAAAGGATTAATTTCCCATTAATAAATTCTCGAAACCGGAAATTTGTCCATTTCCCGTTGAAAAAAAAAACTTGTTGATTCCCTCGAGAAAGTGGAGTGGAATATTTTATTTGCAACAAATATTCAGAGCTGTCGGGGCAAATGATTTGTTTTAATGGGACCCAATCTATCACTGCTATCGGAACTATAATTTCAAGATCACTAGGATAGGGAGGGAAGGTTAATATCCGTGGATTTTGCGAGACCGAGTTGAGACTAGGGGGATGGGGGTGGAGGAAGTTAGTTGTACGGATGATCCAGCTTCTCTGAGTTAACGTTCTTATATATTATATTATATATTGTCGGTAAGACGAGAAATACATCGAGGACGATAAGGGTGAGTTCGGGGTATAAAATGCGTGTGCGCAGTGGAGACTTGGGGGATTCCCTGGAGACGACCCCCATTTCGAAGGCACTGGCAAGTGTTCCTTCTCTGTACTACACAAAGTCTCATGCAGATTACCGGTGGCGTCTTATCCTCGTCTTTGGACTCAGTAAAGCGTTACATTACAATATCTGAGTCCAGGAGTTTCCGATATACAGAACTTTAGCTTCAGCTTTTACCCGGCACCGAAAATTAGCTCTAGGCGACTTTTTCCCTTTTGGAAATTTACTAGATAACATTTCCTTATCGAAACAAATACCTCATGATAGATTTTCCGTTCATGAAAATTGACAAGAGAAAACTTCGGAAAAGAAAAAGTTTTACCTATTATTTTTTTAATCGATTTTATGTTGGAAAGGTTTACTGAGAATAATTGAGGCCAGGTAATGATTGAAAATCAATTTTTTTCAAACTTTTTTAATGAATCAATGAAATCATGAATTTTTCCTGTTCAAAGAAAGGAATGAATGAATAAATAAATAAGTAA